GCGGGAACCCGGGCGGGGTTAAAACGTCAGTCACCGAGCTGCCCTTCCTGCCCTGCACCGCCCATCTACAGACTTCCATGCAAGAGAGAAATGAATGTCTTCCTTTTTAAAGCCACCAGGGAAGTCTCTGTTACACAATTGTAAGTTCCCGCCTACAGCTATCTAGTACAATGCGCTCTTCATGTCGCTGCGCTGAGTGAAATGCACATCTATAACACACAGTAGGCCTCAAAGGCAGTAGTCAACATGTTTTCATTACGTCCTTAGTAATAGTAAATGCCCTGTTGGTGCTCCGTAACCCACGCTGGTCTAGCAATAAGGAACACATAGTAGCCTCAACAAGTACTAACGGGAATGAGTTGAATGTATCGCACTGTTGTTTGCATTAATGGCAGACATGCTGATCCCAAGGGATCATTAACAAGTAGAATGGCTAATCACCCGAACAGGTGGGATTTAACATAATTCTCAACCCAGGAATTGATGGGAGCAAACAGGGGCACACTGAGACAGGCACCCTCATAAACAAAGATCAAAGATTCACAGCATCAACACTACTGACATTTGGGGCTGGGTGAGCCCGTGGGTGGAGGGAAGGGGTGTGCTCTGCGGTGCGGGGTGGTCAGAGCGTCGCTGGCCTCCACCTACCAGAGACGCCAGCTGCACCCTTCTTCCCCGAGCGCAGTAACCAAACATGTCCTCAGGCATTGCACAAGGTCCCCCCAGAGACCAAACCACGCCCTCGGGGAGAACCACTGCTGAAGGTGGACGCGCACAGTTATACGACTTTTCCAGAAACAACTGGTAGTAAGTATTCGGAACTCTAAAACATGTTTAGATGTTTTCATCCAGAAATCCTGCTTCAAGGAGAAATCAGAAATGGAAAGATGCTCACACATCAATAACAAAATGACAACCTCCTTTAAAAATGGGCACACGATCCAAGTACTCGTTTCTCCAAAGAAGACAGAAATGACCAATAAGCACCTGCAAAGATGCTCCACATCACGTGCCACCAGGGAAATGGAAGACAAAACCACAATGAGACCCACTGGGATGGCCATGGTCAAAAAGACAGAGCAAGCGCTGGTGAGAATGTGGAGAGACTGGAGCCTCAGACACTGCCGCCATAGCCACTGCAGAAAACAGCTGGGCAGCTCCTCCAACGTTTAGACATGCAGTTACCACACAATCAAACAATTCCACTCCTGGGTATATATATACCCAAGAGAAGAGAAAACGCATATGCACACAAAACTTGTACACCAATGCTCATAGCAGCATTATTCATAATAGCCCCAAAAGTGGGAACAACCTACATGTCCATCAACTAATGAACTGATAATGTGGCCTAAGCATACAATAGAATATTATCCTATAAATAATAATAATTGACCGAACGGGTGAACGACCGGTCACTATGACATGCACTGACCACCAGGGGGAAGACACTCAATGCTGGAGCTGCCTCCTGGTGGTCAGTGCGTTCCCACAGGGGGAGTGCTGCTCAGCCAGAAGCCAGGCTCATGACTGGCAAGTGCAGTGGCAGCGCTAAGGAAGTCCGACTGCTTACTAAGGGCTCCCAGATTGTGAGAGGGCACAGGCCTGGCTGAGGGACCTCTTCCCCCTCGCCTCCCCGCCCCGTGCACGAATTTCATGCACCAGGCCTCTAGTTCAGCAATAAAAAAGAAGGAAGTACTTATACATGCTATAACATGGATGGACCTTGAACACATTATGCTAAGTGAAAGAAGACAATAACAAAAATCCACATGTTATACGATTCCAGTTATATTAAAAGTCCAGAATAGGCAAATCCATAGAGACATAAAGTATATAGTGGTTGCCTGGAGCTTGGGGGGCGGGGGGGATGTATAAGGGAGAGTTACTGCCAGGTATGAGGTTCCTATGTGGGGGGATGAAATGTTCTAAAATTGTTTGTGGCAATGTTTGCACAACTCTGTGAATATAATAAAAATAATCTAAGTGTAAGTGGGTGTATTGGATATACATGAATTAATAAAACCATTATAAAAATACTCAAAACAACCACAAACGATGCGCATGCAAGGCTGTACATTGTTATATGTTATCTATAAGATTTTAAAAATCCAAAAGTACCTAAATGCAAGGCAAAAGGGATGGCAAAATAAATTATGTTCAGGCATATGAATAAGTATTAGGTAACCACTGTAATAATCTTTTGAATACTTATTAACACAAGGATCTCTCCTGCTGTAATAGTAAAGGAAAAGACAAAAATGTAAAATCTGCATTTAGACACACATACACATTCACTTACACTTATAGAAAATTTACAAAAGAAAATCTACAATCAGTAAAGAATGGTTAATATTGGGTGGTGGGAAAAATGGTGACTTTTATTTTCTTCTCTTTTTTCTATAGTGATTGTATTTCCTACTGCATATCCTATATAATAAGAGGCTAATATGCAAATTGTCCCCATGGGTGGGAGTTCGTCTGACTGGGAGTTAGATGTGCACTGACCACCAGAGGGCAGTGCAGAACATGGCTGGTGTTGGCCGCTGCTGGCCCCCACAGTCCCCGATGAGAGCGGGACTGCAGTGGGACGGTGGAGCAGGTGAGCGGGCGGCACCAGACGCAGGCAGGAGCAAGCAGGGGCCCCAACTACCCTGCCGGCCCCTCACAGATTAGCCCTGATAGCCAGCCAGGCCTAAAGACCCTACCCATGCACGAATTTCATGCACTGGGCCTCTAGTATGTTTATAACCAATAAAAATACTTCTTAAAGATTGAGAAAGAAAGTTTATTTCCAAAACTTACTTGAAATGTATAGTCTAAAAGAGCTAAATAGAAAATTGTAGACTATGTAGTCAAAGTTTTTAATTTCACTGAAGTAACTAGAGTCCAAAGTGGCTATGTGCGCTGACCCCGCCAGCCATCTGGTCAGAGTAAGTGCAGCTCTCCTCCTTGCCTTTCTTTTTTGATGACCCACCTACGCGCACTCACAGGAGCTCAAAAGAAGATTGAGGGATGGACCTTGAGGGCGTTATGCTAAGACAGAAAAAGACAAGCACCATATGATCTCACCCCTGTGTGGACTCTAACAACAATACAGAACGGACTGGTTGTTATCAGAGGTTTGGGGGTGGGGGGTGCTGAGAGAAATGGGTGAATGGGGTCAAAAGGTACAAACATCCAGTATAAAATAAACAAGTCCTGGGCATATAGTGTACAGCATGGTGACTATAGTTAATAATACTTCATTGTATATTTGAAAGGTGCTGAGAGTAGGTCTTAAAAGTTTTCATCACAAGAACAAAAAATTATAACCATGTGTGGTGATGGATGTTATCTAGATTTGTGGTGATTATCTTGCAATATACACGTACATCAAATAATTATGTTATACACTGAAAGTAATATAATGTTACATGTCAGTTATATCTCAATTTTTTAAAAAGAAACTACTTTTGGGGGGGTTGGGCGGGGATTTTTCTCCACAAATTGGATTCTGTTCTAAAATTCCTGCAAGATTAGGTACAAAGACTCAACAGTCCTCTCCCAGACCACTAGGGGGCACTAGCAAGTCAAGACAGGCTGAGCCCTACGCACTGGATAAACTACAGTGAGAATAACCATGTTTTTTTGGCCTCAGAAGCAGACAAAGATGATTAAAATCATGCTGACCCTTGGATGACTGTCTTCAGCTTTTTCTGGCAAGCGATGGCTAAAGGAGTCTTTTTGAAGCGGGGCATTCTGGTTCCCATCCCACAAGAACAAGAAATGAATGACGCGCCAGGAAACAGCCCCAGCAGCAGCTCCCAACTGTTTCCAGGCAGCAGCCCATAATCACCTTCTTTCCCAGCTCCAACCAAGTGTGGCAGGGGGACCCTCCGGCCTTCAGCAGGCGGAGGCAGCACAGATGGAAGGCTGGGCGAACACAGAGCGAATGCTTCCAGCAAAACCGCCAGCTGCCGATGGTCCTTGGGGTGTCACACCCTCCAAACAAAAAGAAGGGGATCAAGCAAGAAGCAAGAGCCCGGCACTCCTCGGCGGAAACGAAAGCTCGGTGAAAGCTGGCAGGGCTCCCTGCTCTGAAATGATTCCCAGACAACAGTAAATCGCGACAGTGGTCAGTGTTGAGTGGAGACACGTGGGCCTGGCTGCGAAGCCCAATTCCTCAGCTCTCTTCACAGTATGTGAACGCAAAAAACACAGGGTTAGGGGGAATAGGGTTCACCCGTTTCCATTAAATCTGATTAAAGAACCTCATCCCGGAAAGGCAGGGCGCCACTGTAGTGCTTTAGTACGTATGCTGGGGGGGGCCGGAGGGGGGGGAGGACCCAGGTACAAATCCCAGCTCTGCCACTCACTGATTAGCTGAACCTGCGCAACTTACTCAGTTTTTTTCTGTGCCTCAGTTTTCTCATCTGTAAAATGAAGACAACAGTAATAATAGTTCCTCCTTCCTACGTTGTAATGAGGATTCATGGTCCCTACCACATTATTAGTGCTCAACAAATGTTAGCTATTAGCTAGTGCTAGTGGTGATGGGTATAAAAATCTTAAAATACAGAGCTTTTCTACCCTTGTTTCATAAGCCAGCCCAACATCTTGGGGCCTTTATTTTGAGGAAATTCTCTCTTAATGTAAAGACCCTCAAAAAGCTTGTAGACAATCTATCATTCAAAACCCAGGATTAATATATTGGGAAACCTCTATATCACACAACTAAAAGTTATTCTAAAATCTGCCCCAAGCTGTATACACTAAAGTATGTTTCTCTTCTCACTCAAGCTGCTGGTTGTGGAAGTTCTCCCCCAAGGGCGAATTCACCAGGGTTTGATGTGAAGGTTTATAAGTACAATGTCTGCACTTTAAGCTGTTCCACCAATAGTTGAAATGCCAACTCCCCACAATTGATATGTGCTGGGATAAACACTTTTATTAAGATTAATTAGTGTGGCTCATTGTATTTTCCAAAGATGGTCACAGCAGGCAAAGGAGGGTCAGAGTACTCGTGCTGTTTAAGTAATTTTAATTCAAAATCATAGATATGCCAAAGTGACATATTTGAGGGCGGCCTGCCCTGAGTCCATCTTTAGTCTTACAAAATAAGCTAAACTAAGTTTTGCTTGTATGAATAAGCTGGCTTTATCTGCTCAGGGAATTTTCAAGGCCTGTCTCCATTTGGCCTTGATTTTAACATGAGCTAATTGGCACACAAATTGTATTCTAGGGACTATGTCTGTGGCATGGACCTCCAGCTTCAGGGGGTGATGGGTGACGGTCTGCTCCTTGGTCCTCTGCAGTCAGTGCAGAACCTGGTGAAGAAAATGATGCTGGATGGCCATCAGGCCCCCAGACTATCTGATGTTGGCATTCCTCTTGAGGTAGTTGGCATAATGAGTCAGGAGTAGCTTCTTGACCAAGCTGCTGTAGATGACCCAAGATGGGATCAGGCTCAGAAAGCTTGCCTTAAATAGACAAAAACATGAGTGTCTGGGTGAAAAGAAGAGCAAGGAAGTTACAACTAAAACATCTCAGTTCATGTTTATCATTTCAAAAAAATATTTCTTCTGACTACTGAAGGTAAGTCCCAAAATCTTCTAGTACAGTCATGTGTCACTTAACAAGAAGGATTCATTCTAAGAAATGCATCATTCGATGATTTCGTCATTGTGCGAACATCATAAAGCAAACTTACATCCTTTATGGTACCTCCTACTACATGCCTAGGCTGTGTGGTATAGACTATTGTTTCTAGGCAACAAACCTGTACATCCTATTACTGTACTGAATGCTGTAGGCGATTATAACACAATTATAAGTATTTGTGTATCTAAACATAGAAAAAGTATATTTAATAATGTTAACTATGGTTACAATATGGTATAAAAGATAAAAAATGGTACATCTGTATAGGACACTTACCATGAGTGGCGCTCAGAAAACTAGAGTTGCTCTGGGTGAGTCAGTGAGTGAGTGCTGAGTGAATTAGAAGGCCCTGTACATTACTGTTTGCTACTGTAAACTTTTAATCACTGTATAGTTAAGATACACTAAATTTATTTTTAAGAATTTAATTCTTCAATAATGAATTAAGCTTAGCTTGCTATAACTTTTCTACTTTATAAACTTTTTAGTATTTTTAACTTTCAATTCTTTTGCAATAACACTTAGCATAAAACACAAACACAATTTATAACTGTACAAAAATTATTTTTTTCTTTATATCCTTATCTATAAGTTTTTTCCTATTTTTAAATTTTAATTTTTTTTTTTTACTTTTTAAACTTTTTTGTTAAAAACTAAGATACATGGAATACTATGCTGCTATAAAAAAGAAAGAACTTTTACCATTCATAACAACATGGATGGACCTGGAGAGCATTGTGCTAAGCAAAATTGGCCAGTCAGAGCAAGATAAATATCATGTGATCTCACTCATTTGTGGAATATAATGAACAACATAAACTGATGAACAAAAATAGATCCAGAATCATAGAAGCATCGAACAGGCCATCAAACCTCAGAGAGAAGGTGGGAGAGGGGAGGAGGTAAGAGATCAACCAAAGGACTTGTATGCATGCATATTAGCATAACCAATGGACACAGATAGTAGGAGAGTGAGGGCATGTGCTGGGGGTGGGAGCAGCCGGGGAGAGGTCAATGGGGGGAAAAGGAGACATATGTAATACTTTCAACAATAAAGAATTTAAGTAAATACAAAACAAACAAAAAAACTAAGATACAAACACACTAGCCTAGGCACACACAGGGTCAGGATCGTCACTGTCACTGTCTTCCACCCCCACATCCTGTGCCATTAGCAGGTCTTCAGGGGCAATGACATGCTCGCTTAAGGAGGTGTCACTCTTTTCGGAAATATGTCCATGGCGATTTGTTAAAATTTTGTTTTCATCATAGACTTGCTTGTGAGCAGATAATGCAACATGAGCACTCTTCTCTTTAAGTGAAAAACTTTTGGTGTTTTTAAATTAATGAAAAACTTTTAAAGAAGCTTGTTGAGGTCTGAAACCTTCTGCTAGAACCTTCACCATGAATTTTCTTAGAGATTCTTTGTCTGCTCCTGCGGTTTCCTTTCCCCTGGCTTCTTCTTCAGCTACGCCTTCCTGTTCCCATTCCAACAACTCCTCCTCAGCCACTTCCTCAGACCACCCCTCAGAGCTCCTCCTCCTTGTCATCCTCATTCACACCCAGGTTAAGGCTGTTTGCCATCTCAGCCACAACCTTGTGGATTCTTGCAGCCTCCTCAATCTTGGCAAACCCTTTGAAGTCATGGACAAACTTCTTGAGTGTCTTCCCCCAGGTGCCATTCATACCCTCCTTGGTGGCATCACTCTAAGCCAGTGGTCGGCAAACTCATTAGTCAACAGAGCCAAATATCAACAGTACTTCTTCAAAATACACTCGCCCAGGCTGAAAACCGACTTCTGCGCATGGGCCACGAAGTTTCAATCGCACTGTATGTGTGCCCGCACGTGGTATTTTGTGGAAGAGCCACACTCAAGAAGCCAAAGAGCCGCATGTGGCTCGCGAGCCACAGTTTGCCGACCATGGCTCTAAGCCCAAGCAAGGCTCCTGAAGCAGCTGAAGATGTAATTTTTCCAAAATTGCATCAGCGTCTTCATCGGTTACAGCAATGGCCTGGCCAAAGGTCGTCCTCAGGTAGTGAGCTTTAAAAGCTGCTATAACTCCCTGATCCACTGGCGTGTTTGGAGGGAGAACACACTTCGATTTTGGGATGAAGATCGCCAATACAAAGAAGATGTCTGGGGGGATTGTAAATAATAAGCTAAGTCTGGAAAGGTACTACAGTGGGGCCTTGACTTACGAGTGTCCCGACTAACGAGTTTTTTGAGATACCAGCTGTCTCTCGGCCAATTTTTTGCATTGAATTGATAGAGTAATTTGAGTTAACGAGATCCTTAATGAGCTCAGTCTCAGAATGAATTAAACTCGTAAGTCAAGGCCCCACTGTATTCTCCAAACAGTGTTTCTCCATTTTGCTGGCATAGCCATTGAGGAGGGCCAGAGTTAAACATTTACTAACAGGGGGTCAGAGGCCACAGCAGCCCCACGGAAACGCTCCCTGGGTCTCGGCCGGCTCTTCCAGGAGCTCTGGAGCCTCCTTTCTTTCTGAGGGAGAAGTGAGGCAGCCAGGGGTGAGACTGCCCGCCTTGGGGGCGCACCAGGCCTCCAAGAGCGAGGAAGAGCTGGCTCAGCCCGCAAGGGCCGCCTGCACACCTGTGCTCACTCGCTTCAAGAAGGAGAAGTTATCAATTACCAGGATTTCGTGGACGAGGCAGCCGCAGGTTTCATCGCCAAATGTGACGTAATTGAGTGATTCTTTAACAAACTCATCGGCAGTCTTGGTTATCAGGCTGGTGTTGAGGTTCTTTGTCATTGGGGTTGAAACAGCATAGGGGGTCAGCACCTACAGTGGGAAATAAAACTGTAACACAGGAGCGATCTGCCCATCCCTGAGTGTGAGCCCCCACCTCCCCATCCCTTCCTTTCCCAACTCTGGCCATCCTGTCAGAAGTTCCAGGGTTCGAAACAGGGAGGGGGTACTGCGCGGGCACAGAAGCAGCACAGTGCTGGCAATCAGCCTCTGGTTCCCCTTTGCCACTAACGCCAGGGGAGGCCTCGGCCACACACCACGGTGCCCCGAGTGCACACAGCTGAGGCACGAGCCAGCTCTCCGAGCATGGTTGCCAGGCTTTGAGTTGATAAAAGTGCAGGACACTCAGTTCAACCGAATCCAGGAAAACAGCAGCAACAACAAAATTCAGTATAACTGGGGGAGGCAAAATGGCGTCCAGATAGGCAGATGTGTCCTGCACCTTCTGATGGAGCAGATAGAAGAAACAACTAAACCAAATAACATCCACCCGGAATTGGCAAATTAAACACAGCTGGTGAGACGATCCGTGGCTGGAAAGGACAGAGGACGCCTGGAGAACATTTTTCTCTCTCCTTTCTTTTTACTCCTTATAAAAAATTGATCTTCTTTATCTGCTTTACTGATGTGTTACTAGTCTCTGCTGGCTTACTCATATATCTAATTTCCTCTCCCCTGCTCCAAGTCCATGCACACTTCTCTTTCTTTGCTAAGCATTTTTTATGCTTTTGTTTTTCCTCTCCTCGTTTGCTCTCTTCTTCTCCTAATTGCTTAATTAGTTACACTCACCAAAATCAAGCCTATTTGCTCTCTGCTCTAGTCTCCTTTTTAAAAAATAGATGAATATACAGATAGATAGAAAATAGATTAAAGAAAGGGAAGAATTTTTTATTATTATTTTGTTTTTTACTTTTCTTCTTATCCACTCATTCTCTTTCTACCTCCTCTATATTGAACTGTGGCCATTTCCCCACTCATTCAATTCCTTTACCTTACCTTCTGGAAATAAGCTCTGCCTCTTCAGATTCAGTTCGCCCTTTTTTCCTGGGTATTTGTGGTTTGCATTTTTTGGTTTATTTGTTTGTTTTGTGGACTTTTCTCCCCCATATACATATATTTTTCCCCATTCTTTTTTCTTCTTTTTCTTTTCTCTCTTACCTTTTTTCCTTTTCTCAATATCATTTTTGTGCTCTTTTCTCTCCCCTAATTCTCTTTTCTCTGGTGGTCATCTTTATTGGGGTTATTGGTGTCATAAATACATTCTTGTTTTGTTCCCTCTGTGTTGTGTCTTATTGAGTTGTATTTTGTGCCTTTCAGTCAACGTGGTAGAGAGTGAACCACATAACCAGACACCCTGAGAGGAGCAAAAATGGGGAGACAAAGAAACAACCCCCATACGAAAGAAAAGGAGGAATCACCAGAAAAGGAAGTAAACGAAATGGAGGCAAGCAATTTGTCAGAGAAAGAATTCAGAGCAATAGTCATAAGGACACTGAAAAGGATGGAAGACAATTCAACAACATGTATAAGAATCAGTTGGAAATGGAGAAGAACCAAGAAAAAATGAAGAATGACATAGCTGTGATAAAAAACCACAATAGAAAGCATCAATAGTAGACTAGCAGAAACTGAGGACTGCATCAGCAAGCTAGAAGACAAGGTAGGAAAAAAACACCCAAAAAGAGCAGCAACTGGAAAAAAAAAAAAGCAGGAGGAAAGCCTAAGGGAGCTCTGGGACAACACAAAACACAACAACATCCACATAATAGGGGTGCCAGAAGGAGAGGAAACTGAGCAAGGAATAGAAAACCTGTTTGAAGGAATAATGACAGAAAATTTCCCTGATATTGGGAAGAAAAAACTCACACAAGTTCAAGAATCACACAAAGTGGATCCCAAACAAGAGGATCCCAAAAAGACTGACACCAAGACACATCATAAT